AAGAGAAAAAGGGAAAAATATATATATATCTTCGTTCCCAAAGTCCACCTCCTCAGTCTGGGATGATTCGTTGTCTCTTCATGTATTCCACAGATGCAGGGTACATCAAGTTGATTTTGGAGCTTTAATCCGCTGCTTCTGAAGCTGCTGGGAGAGATTTCCCTTCCTCTTCTCTGTTCGCACAGCTCCCGGGGTTCAGCTTTGGATTTGGACCCGCCTCTGCGTGTAGGTCGCCTGAGGGCGTCTGTTCTTCGCTCAGACAAGACGGGGTTCAAGGAACAGCTGATTCGGGGGCTCTGGCTCACTCAGGCTGCGGGGAGGGAGGGGTACAGATGCAGGGTGAGACTGTGGCGGCAGAGGCTGGCGTGACGTTGTAGCAGCCTGAGGCGCGCCATGCGTTCTCCCAGGGAAGTTGTGCCTGGATCACAGGACCCTGGCATTGGCGGGCTGCACAGGCTTCCGGGAGGAGAAGTGTGGATAGTGACCTGTGCTCGCTCACAGGCTTCTTGTTGGCGGCAGCAGCAGCCTTAGCGTCTCATGCCGCCTCTGGTGTCCGGCCTGTTAGCCGCGGCTCGCGCCCGTCTCTGAAACTCCTTTAAGCAGTGCTCTTAATCCCTTCTCCTCGCGCACCAGGAAACAAAGAGGCAAGAAAACCTCTTTTGCCTCTTCGGCAGTTCCAGACCTTTTCTCGGACTCCTTCCCGGCGCACTAGCCCCCTTCAGGCTGTGTTCACGCCGCCATCCCCAGTCCTCTCCCTGGGATCCGACCAAAGCCCGAGCCTCAGCTCCCAGCCCCCACCCGCCCCGGCAGGTGAGCAGACAAGCCTCTCAGGCTGGTGAGTGCTGGTCGGCACCAATCCTCTGTGTGGGAACCTTTCCGCTTTGCCCTCTGCACCCCTGTTCCTGCACTCTCCTCTGTGGCTCCGAAGTTTTCCCCCTCTGCCACCCACAGTCTCTGTCCGCAAAGGGGCTTCCTAGTGTGTGGAAACCTTTCATCCTTCACAGCTCCCTCCCACCCGTGCAGGTCCCGTCCCTATTCTTTTGTCTGTTTTTTCTTTTGCCCTACCCATGTTCGTGGGGATTTTCTTGCTTTTTGGGAGGTCTGAGGTCTTCTGCCTGCGTTCATGGGTGTTCTATAGGAGTAGTTCCATGTGTAGATGTATTTCTGATGTATCTGTGGGGAGGAAGGTGATCTTCGCGTCTTACTCTTCCACCAACTTGAAGCTCCTCTAACAGAACATTTTAAATCAACTTCACTCCAATTTTTAAAAAAATCAGCTGTGAAGCCTGGACTGAGTTTCTTCTCTACCCCTTTTGTCTCTTGCCCCCGAGGACAGGGTTGGGTAGGGGCTCTCCAGAGCTAAGACTTCAGTGCTCTCTCCACCTCAGCATCCATGTTGGCAAACATCGCTTCTCCTGCCTGCTGTGCCAAAGTGTTCTGGAGGCTTCTATACACCTGGGATCTGGTGTTTCTTCTTTTTCTCCTCCTCTTTTTCAGATGGGGGACAATGTGTGTTATAGAGACTTTGTTTTCCTTTACCCATCCTAGCCTGAAATGTGCAGCCAACATTCTGGTCTCCTGAGCTCCTCACAGTGGTGCAGGGGGAGGGTGACAGTAAAGCTCTCACTTGTTTCCAGATGTTACCATATATTAAATATGTGTTCCTATGGTAAAATGACTGGCTTTCGAATTCAGCGTGGCAGTCTCTGCATGCTCTGGGCCTTGGAGAAGTAAAGGAGGAGGGAGTGTCCCAAGTCAGAAAAGGAAGGGCATGACCACTGTGCTCATAGACTCAAGGGTCCCTCTTCCCTGCTCTGTACATGAATGATGAGCCTCAGGCACACTCAGAGCTAGTGGAGGGAAGATTCCCCCTACTGGCCCAGAGGGGAGCCAGGTTTTGACTGGGGAAGAGCAGCAGCCTCCTGTGTTTTAACAAAAGGGGATTCTGTGAAAGGTTGAGAAATTCTGGGAGATGTACTTACCATCAGAAGCCACCAAGTTTCCCCTTTCTTTATGTGAGGAGTTTGTGGTTCCAGATTCACCAGCTAACCCAACCCTGATGGTGAAGAAACAGAGTTTCTCTGAAAGGGAGAGCATACTTAACACCACCCATTGGGTGAGATTCAGATGAACAAACGGGGAGAATGATGTCAGGGGTCAAGGGAAAATTCCAGAGTCGGGATCCAGAACAGTGTGGGGTGCGGTACAGGAAGCACAAGTCGAGACAGGCAGGAGAGTCTGGCCAGGGCGAGGTAGTGCATGACAGGAAAATTCTTTACATCCAGGGCCAAGGCCCAGAGAGGGCACAGAGTACTCCAGCTTCAGAGCTAAGTTCAGATCCTACAGAGCCTGAGACAAGCTGGGTGATACCACAGGACAGAGAGGAGGAAGCAGGTTCCTTGAGCCTGAGAATCCTACCAGATGCAGCAGCAGGTTCTGCCCAGAGCTGCCTCTCTCAGGGGCTTTTGAGAGGGAGTTTGGGTGAAGAGAGGGACCTGGTTCAAGCCCAGAGGGGAGCTAAGTTGAGGCAAGAGGCTTGAAGCTCAGCTGTGGTCATGGTGCTAGTAGTCCAGAGGGAGGCGAGTCATTAAATTGACTGACAATGAACATTGAGTGGAGAAGGCAACAGAAGCTATCTGTCCTTTGCTGAGCCCTTACACTTCCTCTTAAGTCCTCCCAAAAGAGAGAGACTTCTCAGAAATCAAATAATGTCGTTCATTCACCCATTCATTCATTCATTCATTCATTTAGTCATTCAGTCATTCTACAATCACCAAGCACTGAGCAGTTACTATATACCAGGCACCATGTAAGGATGGATGTGGACCAATGGCTATAGGGACACAGTGGGAGGCTTATCCAGGAATCAAAGTCATAAGAGGTGACCATCTGTGGAACCAGCAGGTGCTCTATAAACATTTAGGTATGTGTCTGGGAGCAGGGGAAGGAGGAACTATCCATACACCTGGGTTTTAAGGGTGATTAGGATTTTCCAAAGCCACACCTAGTAACATATTGTGCTTTGAGGACAACTCTGAAGCAGTGACTTCAGTTTCATGTTGTTGATCAGAGGAAAATGTCAGTGTAAGGACTCAGGGGATCCCTATTCTTATGTCCCCAGAAAAGTCCATGGCAATGAGACTCTTCAGGATCCAACCATCATGGAGGGAATGTGTACCTGGGCAGGTGCTCAGAGGCTACTCACCTTCTGCCATCCTGAATGCTATTACTGCTCAGGGTACCAAGGCTCTGTCAGTATGCCACCCTGGACCCCCTCCAGAGTGAAAGCAATCTGGTTCGAAACAAGCATTTTAGCATTTCAGCCTTTCCCTTCCTCTCTCAGACCCTTGTCCACTGAGTGATGATAAACTAAATGAGTCCTTTATTTCCATGTATGCTAACTCATGCCCCCTCCTATTTTCAGCAGTGCTGGAAATACCTTCTGTTTATCCCCAGAGCCACTTCAAACATTAAGCAGCTTTATTCTTACTTAAGGGGATTCATCTTAGCAAAATATTAAGGGCTCACCCAAAAGGCAGGGCTCTTTCTGACCTCACATTGCCACTTACACAATGCTTTCCCAGGCCTGTGAGCGGGTCGAGCTCCAAGCCAGGAAGGCTGAGCTGTCCCTTTCCACCTTTAATCATTTTCCTGCCTGGACTTAATTTCCTCTCTAGGCATTAGGAGCAACGGTGGGTTAGGACAAAGGTGAACATAGGATTTCTGTGTAGAAATCCTTTTCTCATGGGGTCTATTGTTTGATTTTGGGTGAGTTATTTCACCTCTCGTGTCCTCAAACTCAGTTATCACTTGAGGAGTGTGGACTGAGCAAGAGTCTCTGAGATCCATCAAACTAGTGACTGTGAACTAGGCTGCGTACCTTGCCCTAGGGAGTTCCTTCTCTGCTGAGGGGAAGGGGTCTTCGTACTGGGATAGCTCCTAGAATGAGATATGACTGGTGTATATTAAGGACTTGATTAATGTTTGTTGAATGAATGAGGATACAAATATTACCATGGGAACACCACTGAGCAGACACAGCTCTGATGCTCAGAAAGCTCTCAAAATATACAGAGCGAGAGAGAGGAGAAAAACATTGCAGCCAGCAAGATCCTCAGGTGTTGGGTCTGGAATTGGAAGTGGGCAAGAGGTGGGGGAGGATTCATCCCTAAGGGCTCCATGGATGGGCTTCGGGTGAAGGTGGTTAGAAAAGCCTTGTAGGTTTTCAGGTGGGGGTGAGGAGAGAGGGTTGTGTTAGGAAAGAAGGAAGGGCCATGACCAGAAGGCTGGGTGGAGTGGAGGGAAAGTTTATCCCAGAAGAGGAATTAGCTCTTGAAAATCTCTGAAGAAGGAGAGGGGTGAGGGTGTGGTTGGTGAAAGCAAAGCAGGTTTACCCAGATTAGCAACCAGTCAGAGAGGGGTGGGATTGGTGGGGGAGTGATAATTAAGTAATTCCAAATGTGTGTTGTTCAGTGGAATTCGGAGAAAGATGGCAGGAATTGATATAAGGGCCTAGGATATTCCAGACAAGGAGTCTATAACCAGTCAGTTCCATGATCTCTAGTGCCTGCCTTTATAAGGCAGACAACTCGTGCCCACCTCAGTTCCTCTGCTCCCCTTCCCTTCCCACTTATTCATGTGCTCAAATGTATTCATTCCACAGAACTTGAGGAACAACCATCTCAAGGAAAAAAAGAGCAGGAAGGTGGTAATACCACAAAAGCACTCAGCTCTCCCTCCAGAGTTAACTCATTAAACCCTCCAGGAACCCTATGGCTCACCTCTCCCCCAACACAAGCCCTATATTTGGGTCTAAGGGGGAGGGTGGCAGTGGGAATCAGGCCCTGGCGACATCATTGTCAGACAGCCAAGTGGGTGGTTTTCATCACAAAAGCTGAGCCAGCTGGTAATTGAGAGGAATAGGGTGAATCATGTTTGACAGGTAAGGAATGAAAACAGAGGGGCCCTGGGTGATGGTATTTCCTTGAGGCAGAGCTCATTCATTGCATAAAAAGCTTGTGGGCTGTTGACTTCACATCAGACAGTAGCAACCAGACAACTAATTCTTCTCTGTGTACCAGGTGAGCCTCTGATTGGAATTCATTTGAAATTTTTATTTTTTCACTGTTGGAAAATGGACAAAGGCAAAGATGAATTAAGAGTCATTAATAATTAATAATACCCTGAAGCAGGGTATTAATTGGAGAGAGAGAATATTGGGGCATCTTTATTTTAAATGAAATACAGTTTGGGCTTGAAGGGACCTTAGAACTGGTGAAGCCAGCCACCTCAGTGGACAGCTGTGGAACTAGGGGTCAGGGAAGGGGACAGATCTGTGCAAGTTCCCATAGTAAATCAGCAACAGTGTTACAACTGGAACTCAGACTCAGGAAACACTCAGCAACACCATTATTCTCTCTGTTTATGATAACTTATTATAAAAATTTTAATTCATAAGATGGACCTCCACTCAACATTTATTATATTTAAGGTATGAAGCTAAGCACTGTGGAGGAATCAGATGGTCACAGAACTTATCAACAAACTTACAACCTAGCAGGGAAGATAATGCATGTACACACACATAGATGAAATGCAAAGTAGATAAGACAGGTGTGGGGGGTGAAGGGAAGGGTGGTGGCAGTTTGTGGGAGCTCTGCTCAAGAAAAGCTCCCAGTGATGGCACATGAGTGAGCTATGATGCAGGAGTATTTAGACTGAGATAGGAAGGGAAGCATTTCAGAGAGGACGGTGAACGCAAAGGCCAGAGTGAAGTCGTAGGAGCTCAGATTCACATAGAGTCATTCTATAAGTCGCAAGGTGTTCTATGTGGTACTAGGGGTGTGTATGCTGTGGTTGTTTCTACATTATCACTTTTCAAAAGACTTAATATGTGGTCTTGGGTATGTGTCAGTGAGGGATATGACATGTCTGGGAAGAAACAGAGCCAAGGAATGAGCCAATGAATCCCACTGAAACGGAGCAGAACGAATTGTCTTTAAGCTCCTCTTGAAACGACCCCGAAATTTCAAAGCATATTTTAACTCTCATGTATAGCTAGGGGGGAGGAGAGGCTCTCTCATCTAAAGGGAACTAAAATGAAATCTTTTTGGTATTTAACTTGGTTTCTTCTCTGTTTAATCAAATCATTGAGTCAGCTTTTCTGTCTCTAGGTCTAGCCTACTTTGAAGCATGAGTTCCTACCAGCAGAAGCAGCCCTGCATCCCACCCCACGAGCCTCAGCAGCAGGAGGTGAAACAGCCCTGCCAGCCTCCACCCCAGGAAACATGTGTCCCCGAAACCAAGGAGCCATGCCACACCAAAATGCCAGAGCCCTGTCACCCCAAGGTTCCTGAGCCATGCCAACCCAAGTTTCCAGAGCCCTGTCACCCCAAAGTTCCAGAGCCCTGCCACCCCAAAGTTCCAGAGCCCTGCCACCCCAAAGTTCCAGAGCCCGGCCACCCTAAAGTTCCAGAGCCATGTCCTTCACCAGTTATCCCGGGGCCAGCTCAGCAGAAGACCAAGCAGAAGTAATGTGGTCCACAGCCAAGCCCTTGAGGAGCCAACCACCAGATGCTGAATCTCCTCTCCCATTCTACTTCTGCATCCCATTTACAATTAACATGCTGTCACCCTGAGTCATAACCCCTCCCTCTTTGCACCCTCTAAAAAAGTTTTCCTCACACTCAGCCTGGAGGGCTCCTGAGCCTTTGAATAAGGCTGAAAGGCTCATTGGTTGAGCTAGTCTTCTGGCTGCTCAGGGCTCATCTGAAGAGGGATATTAGGGTCAGGGGAATCAAGTGAATCTTTCCTGCTCTGCCCCCGTTAAATCACTTTTAACTCCATAGCTGGCTATGTGCGTCATTGGCCTACTCAGCTTTCTTCAAGTTTCTTTCACCTGAAGCAGGAACGGCACAGAGTGAGGGCTGGTTGTGAGGGCTGCAATCAGAAAGTTCCTGATCTCAGCACTAGAAACGTGTGTGTGTGTGTGTGTGTGTGTGTGTGTGTGTGTGTGTGTGTGATGGTTGTATTCACAGGCATTGCTGGGTTGGCAATGGGAAAGCAGGCAAGGCCATCAGAGCCTGTTACTTTGAGCAGCCTGAGCTAGAGCAAGGCTGTCTTCTTGCCCTTGAGTATATTCTTCATATCTGAGTGTAGATGGTGGCTGTTTCATGCCATCTCTGACTCTGAGTCCATGCACCCAAATCGCCTTTATTCTGTTCTTATTTCTTTATTATTATTATTCCTGTTTCAACATGATTATCTATTCTTCACTCATCCTCCCTCCCTGATATCCCAGCACATGGAGCCAAGCCCTTAAACACACACACTCACAGACAGAGACACACACATCTACATCCACAAACACATACCTACCCATACACTCACACACAGAGAGACACACACACACAGATCCCCAAAATTACAAAACACACACACACACACACACACACACTGATTCAATCAACTTAGTCTTTATTTTTTTTCTTTCACTGAATCCCCAATGTGAAGGCCCCAATGCTATAGCAGGAAGGAGAGTAGCATCCACAGTGTGTGCCCTAAGAGGAGCCTGAGAGGGTGATCTTCACCCCCTCTCCCATATGAAAATACACTCACACAAATACACGCTGACACAGAGGCACACATGCACCTTCTCTCTCTCTCCCTCTCTCTCTCCCTTTCTTTCTACACACACACACACACACACACACACACACACATACACACACACACACACACGGTACCTCTCACAGTAGAACATGAAAGTAAATGCAGCAAATAAAAAAGAGAAAGAAAATTTTAGGCAGGTTTCAGAAGGGAAAGGTGTTAATCCATATAAGACAAAAAGTCAGCATAAAGTTGAGGGAGAGCAGATCATTAAGATATATTGATGAAATACAACCTAAGTGTCCATAGATAGATGAATGGATAGAGAAGATGTGGTGTATACATATACAATGGAATATTACTCCGCCATAATAAAGAATGAAATCTTGCCATTTGCGGCAAGATGGATGGACATAGAGGGCGTTATCTTGACATAAGTCACACAGAGAAAGACAAATGCTGTATTATTTCACTTATATGTGAAATCTGAAAAAAAAAAAAGAAAACAGAAAGATTCATAGATACAGAGAGCAAACTGGGAGTCGCCAAAGGGAAGGGTTTGAGGGGATAGGCAAAATATGTGAAGGAAATTAAGAGGTACAAACTTCCAGTTATAAAATAAATGTCACAGGGATGTAATGAACAGCTGAGCAAATATTGTCAATAATATTGCAATAACTTCATGGTTATTGAAGATGGTTACTAGACACTGATGATCAACTTGTAACGTATATATTAAAGTTGAATCCCTATGTTGTACACCTGAAACTAATATATTGTATGTCAATTATACTTCAATTAAAAAAAAAAGGGAAAATTTATGAAGAACCTAGGGGCAGGACGGGAATAAAGACACAGACCTACTAGAGAATGGACTTGAGGACATGGGGAGGGGGAAAGGTAAGCTGGGATGAAGTGAGAGAGTGGAATGGACTTATATATACTACCAAATGTAAAATAGATAGCTAGTGGGAAGCAGCCGCATAGCACAGGGAGATCAGCTCGGTGCTTTGTGACCACCTAGAGGGGTGGGATAGGGAGGGTGGGAGGGAGAGAGACGCAAGAGGGAAGAGATATGGGGATATATGTGTATGTATAGCTGAGTCACTTTGTTATAAAGCAGAAACTAACACACCATTGTAAAGCAATTATACTCCAATAAAGATGTTTAAAAAAAAAAAAAGAAGCAACGATATTGAGTTATTTGCAGTGAGGTGGATGGACCTAGAGACTGTCATACAGAGTGAAGTAAGTCAGAAAGAGAAAAACAAATACCGTATGCTAACACATATATATGGAATTTAAAAAAATGGTTCTGAAAAACCTTGGGGCAGGACAGGAATAAAGACGCAGATGTAGAGAATGGACTTGAGGACACGGGGAGGGGGAAGGGTAAGCTGGGACGAAGTGAGAGAGTAGTATTGACATATATACACTACCAAATTTAAAATAGATAGCTAGTGTGAAGCAGCTGCATAGAACAGGGAGATCAGGTCGGTGCTTTGTGACTGCCTAGATGGGTGGGATAGGGAGGGTGGGAGAGAGACAGAAGAAGGAGGGGATATGGGGATGTATGTGTACATATAGCTGATTCACTTTGTTATACAGCAGAAACTAACACACCACTGTAAAGCAATTGTATTCCAATAAAGGTGTTAAAAAAAAAGTTGTGAAGCTCAAAGTTTAATCAAGTGACCAAGACGGTATGTCTTCCAAAATTATAATTTTGCTTAAAAGTTCATATTTTATCATTGGCAATAAATGCTGTTTATTTTTCTATTGTTGTTTAACAAGTGACAACAAACTTAGCATCTTAAAATAAAGCATATTTGTTATCTCATGGCTTCCAGGGGTTAGGAATCTGAGGCATGGTTAGCTGGGTCCTCTGCTCAGTGTCTCATAGGTTGCCATAAAGCTGTTGGGCAGGCTGTGGCCAACATCCAAGCTCATTCAGGTTGTTGGCAGGATTGATTTCCTCATGGCTCCAGCTTTTTGCTGGTTGTCCAATGGAATCCTCTCTCAGGTTCTAGAATCCACCTGCAGTTCCTTCAGGCTGTCTGAAATTCCTTGCCAAGTGAATTTCTCCAACATGGGCACATGGGCTCTTGATTCATCAAGCCTGCAAAGGGAGTGTCTAGCTCCAGTCTGCTAGTCAGAGTCACATACACGACAAAATCACAAGAGTGGTATCCCATCTCCTTTTCTGTAATCCATTGGTCAGAAGCAGGTAACAGATCACAGGTCCCCACTCAAGGGGAGGGGATTACATAAAGCATAAATGCCAGGAAGGGAACTGTTGGGGAGTCACCTTAGGGTCTGACTGCCACAAATACTGTGAGCTGTTTTCATTTAAGTGACAGGCTCCATTAATTCATCGTTGAAGAAATGTCTGCCTAATACCCAAGTCTGACTAACCACAGTTTGCTCATCAGTCATTCTTTCAAGTAAAAATTAAGTTTATGCTTCATGGAGAACAGCTAGTTCAGATCAAAATTCAGTGGCACAAAGGCTTTTTCTTGATATAATCATCATGCTTTGAAAGGCAGCAGAAATGATTTATGTATATTTCCTATTTTATCACATAGAATTTCAAAAAAAGTATATACTGAAGGGTGGAGATGTATTTAAGGGATTTTCTTAAGTGGAATTGGCATTGTTATCTTCAAATGGGTGATGGGTGAAGAATGCAATGAGTACTCCTTTTCAGAGGAGGCAAGTCAGAAGATTGGACAGAGTGAGTAATTTACACAAAGAATAAGGAGTCTCGCCTCTGGTACTCTGTGGTTCTGAGACCCAAAACGTTTTGGAGACAGCCTTCCCTTTTTAAAGATATGTAAATGTCAGATATCTGCATTTAAGAAAAAACACCTTACACATAAATAACAAATTTTCAAATTTCTTTGAGAATAGGGCACACAAATGAGTAGTAAGTTGAACTTTTTTCTTTTAATAGTTTGATCTTATTTCTCAAATCCACAGAAGCTGTTTAACCCTCCTTCAACCTGACCCTTCTCCAGCATATGACAGCCCTGGGAGGCTACTTTTATTGAGATAGTAATTTGTGAGATTTTAGGTCCTCCACATCTCAAGGCTTTGTATGGTTGCCTTGCCTCAGGGGCCAATGTGGCTGGACCAAAAGTAGGAGTTGCCTTATTTTTGCAAATCTAGGCACATTATGGATAATACGCTAGACCAACAATTCTCAAAGTATGACCTGCAGGTCCCTGAGATCTTATTAGGGAGTCTGTGATGTCAAGACTGATAACAAAATAATAAGATAGTTTGTCTTTTTACTGTACTATTATTGTACAGATGGTTCAATATCAATGGGGAAAAAAGATTAAAATTCCTGGCATTTTAGCAAGAATCAAGGCAGTGGCACCAAACTGTACTAATAAATAATGTATGAGGTCATTTCATTCATATCTGACTTATAAACCCTACAGAGTAAGAAGTAAGAGAAGCATTCAAGTGATTGGTATAATCCACTAAGTCAGCACATGCTATTCAAGTTCTACTAAGTTTTGAAATGTGAAATCCTGTAGACATATCATCTCATGAAGGTGGTGTTACCATCATTGTGGGCCAGTAATTTCTTGAGGGGAATCCTGCTAGGTGGTGGTGGCCAAGTTATCTAGGAACAGTAGCAGGATGCTGATGGTAACAGAGATAGTGATCTTAGAACACAAGAGCATGCTCCTGGAGTGCCAGAGCCAATGCTTAGTTCACTGAGACAGCCTCAGGCCGACCCGAGGGTTTAAACTCCCACAAAAATAACTCAGGAACAGAATCTGTGTGTAGAGAAGCATGCATAAATATGCCAGTGTAGGGTCTGCACCAGACTTCCAATTGCTCAGCCATGAGCAAGATTCTGTCTCACCATGATGCTCTTCCACATTCTGGGTCCCAAATGCTTACATTTAAATTTAAATAACTATGTATAACTAGTGGCTACTCTAATGAACGGCCTAGATCCAGAGACAGTTCCAGATCCTCCAAAAAGGGGCCTTAGATCAATTCCAAGTTTCCTACACAGAACCATCACATGATTTCTCCGACCCAGGCACTGATTTCCATCACTGGACAGTTGTGTTTCTCTTTCTTCATTCCAAATAGAGCATGTGTTTCATGACATGTCCCAGCCTGGATCCCCCCAGAACAGAGTCTACAACAAAGTCTTATGTGCAACTAATTTCTGCTTCAGGAATGTAATCTAGGGAGGAGGAAGAAGGGATTA